AAAAATAGCTGGCCAGTTAGTTCAGTTGGTTACAGCAAAGCCATATAACCCCAAGGTCATGGGTTCAGATCCCTGTATGAGCCAGCCACTCCCCTCCCCCAAAACAGGAAAGACTACCTAGTTCATTTCATGACAAAGAAAGGTAGCAAGCAACACTCCATTTTCTAACTGGAGACGAGAATTCACAGAAACCTCCATATGCATTATGACCTAATTATACCAGTATTAGAAAGGCAATTTTTCTTGTCTGTTGTGAAATGTCTGGCTTGAATGCTAAAAGCCCTATAATTTTAATTTTATCAAGTTATTTTTTCTTTTAAAGTCAAACAAAAGAGGCTGAAACCCAGATCTGCTAGATTTTCTAAGAGGAATCCTCTAAGGATCCAGAAATATTTAATATCTTCCATTTTTAAACTGGCAATTTCTTCTTTTGCTAATTTCACTCTAATCATTATTCTTTCTCAGGAAACAGCTGTGATTTTATTTTAAATAAGGACGGAAAAATACTTGGCAGGGGCTGGGATTATGAGCACCGCCCATCCACTTGCCCATTAAACTCACTGGCTTTCTGTAGATCTACTTATTAACTGACAGTACTTTACAAAAACATATACTGAAAACCCACCGATAATCAGGAGCCTGCAGAAGGAACTGTGAGGGAAAGAACTGAATCCTTAACATATAATTATCAATGATTCATCCCTACCAATATCCCTGCCATGGTAGGGAAGTAAATGATACGGACACTAAAATCAGCTTTGCACCATTAGAAATAGAATCCTTACAGAAGATGGTGAGGAAGATGATACCCTAGGATGCTCTTTTCAAATAAAGAGTTTTGTTTCTGGATAAATCTAACTTCCAAGGTTTCTACAAGATTAAAAGCTCATTAATTTAGATGCCACAAATTTTGAACTCTTGACGATAAGGCCTGGTTTAAGCTAAATAAAATATTTTGCCTCTGTAAAAATACGTCTTTCTAGAATTTTGGTTTGCTATATAGACACAAGATGTATTAATTACAAATGGTTCTTGTTATTTTAAAAAGCAGATTCTGAAGGGTATATGCTTGGCCACACTTATGTTAGCCTACTTGCAATAATGTGTCTTCTATATATTGTATTCTTTAAAATTATAGCCATGCCTTATTTACCCAGGATTTTTGAGGACTAGGATATTCTACTCAGGAGGGAGATCTAGATGACAGACAGAAGCTCAGAGGCTGAAAGAGTTATGGAAAGTTAGCACTGGAGGGGGACTTGGAGAATTTGGTATTCCTCAGACTCATCCAATAAAATCTTAAGTTTCATCTTAAAATTCACCTTGATTTTGCATTTTACTGAGAAATATTTGTGTTCATTTTAATATAAAAATATATTCTCTCTTCAAACTCTTTGAGTACTACTGAGGGAACATGAAGATTTGCCGTGTGTTTGCTCTGTAGTTTGACCTATCCCCAAACCTCCATTTGAACAGCTTGTACAAATTCTTCACTTCTCCAGGAAACAGAGACATAGAAGTCAAATGACAGAGTTGTTAGAGAGAGCCAGGACTTGAATTTTAGCTTCTGGATAGCCCACAGAGTACTCTAGGACAAAACCACATTTATTCCCTCTGAGGAAATGTGACAGACCACCAACGTGAGTCACATGGCCAAAGACACCAAATGGGGCCGTTTTTAGCTGACTTGGACCATGTAACATTTGCTGGTATCAAGGACCTTGAATGAAGTAACGGGTCTTGATACCCATAACCAATTTCAAGTGGATACAAGGAAATGCTCCAGAGATATCTGAACACAAATATCCATGGAAAAAAGTGAGAAGACACTTTTACTTTGAAAGCATGACAGAAACTGCAATAAATTAAAATCCCCAACCCCAAATTTAAATGGAGAGTGACACAGAAAACATCAAAATGGCAGAGGAGAGTTTCCCTTTCTTGAGCCTGGATCAGATTGTGGGCTTGAGGAGCTTTCCAAGAAAGCAGGCCTGGGAAAGGACAGGAAAGCTCAGTGGTGGAACAAACATGTGCTCATCATTCTCTCCCTGGGGGCTTCTGATTTCTAACAGTATTCATCCACCAAGCCTTCACTGAGCACCTGCTACACGCTACGCACTGTACTAATAATGTTGAGGATCAGGGGATTGTCAGCTAATAATGTTGATGTCACAGGCTCAGCCCTCCAGAAAGTCTGGTGGCGGCTCCCTCCAGGGGTTTGAGTCCACTGCTGGGGAAGTGCAGGATGCTATCTGCAACACTTAGGAAAGGCACTTCATCCAGTCCCAGGAGGAGGGGAGGGGAGCGTGAGAGAAGAGGCATTCCAGCCACAGAGCAGTACACGCAGAGGAGGGGCAGGGCACCTACGTTCCGGGCAGAGGTAAGCAGCTCCACAAGACTGAGGGAGGGGTGGGTGAGGGAGACTGGTAGAGAAGCCGACAGAGGCCAGCTGAAGGACTCCATGCAGTAGGCTATGCTACAGAGTCTGAACCTTTCCCTAAATGTTTTTAAGCACAGAGGGACATATTCAGATTTTTGTCTTAGAAAGGTCAGCTGCACTGGATGATAGGGATGCTGATTAATTATGGCTTGGAATAGACCTTCTGAAAGAAATTTCTACCACTTGACCCACTTTGATTTTTTTTTCTTCTTAGTTGAAGCCTGCATATCTATTCTCTCTCTCTTTTTTTTTTTAAGAAAAGAGGACAAACAGGGACATTTAATGTGCATACACTACACTCTCTGCCTATTATGCTAAACACTTTACTTATGGGATTTTAAGGTGATGTCAAGCAACCTTTCACTGTACAGAAAGGGAAATTTAGGATCTAAGAGGTTTAAAAATATGGTCTAATCCCAAGTGCTTTTTGCACTACATCATACTGACTCCTTTCAACATTTATTACATTTAACCACTGAGTACAAAAACCTTTCAGAGATGAGTAACATACATGGGTACTTCAAAAAGTTCACAGAAAAACAGAATTAAAAGATAATACAAATCCTTCTATGGAAGATTTTTTTAAGTTTCCTCATATATTTCTACCTAAACATAGCTACTGACTACCATTTAACATTTGTTTTGAAGACTCATGGTCATCATATAACTATGTATTACTAAATTTACTTACTGCTATTACCTATTTTAAAATTAATAATAATTCTTTAATTTCATCAAATAGTGAGTCAATGTTCTAATTTCCAATTGTTTAAGATGTCCTAAGATTTTCTTCATTATCTTTTTATCTAATTTAGAACAAAAATAAGGTCTACACGTTGCAATTAATTAACCTATTCAAACTTTTTTATTCTCTAGATTCCCCTCTATTTCTCTCACCCTCTTTTTATTTCTTGCAATTTATTTGTTGAAGAAATTAGGCTATCTGTCACATAGAGTTGTTCAGAGTCTGAATTTTGTCAACTACAACATGTTCCTATGCCTTTTATATTTGCTGTAAGTTGGCTTGTCTAGAAGCTTGATCAAATTCAGAATTAATTTTTTTTTGGGGGGGGGCAAGACTAATTCATAGGTGAGTTGTATTCTTCCACTATGAGGCACACATTTGTCTCTTTTTGTGATCTTTGCAGCCTTTGACCTTCAATAACTGGATCCATTAATTCATTAGTCTTTGAAAAATGGTGATATTCTACATAGTTTTTACAAAGTGAAACCCTCAGGGAAGAGTGAAGTTTATTTGGTTGTTTGCTCCCAAACCAAATGACTACAGACTGCTAAACTCACTGAATTTGTATCTTTGATATGAATAGTTTCTCTGCATCTCCTCCATGAGTAATTACACACTGATGTTTTCAGGACACACTTGCCATTAATAGTTCCTTCACCTTTTTGATTTGTTGCTTCTAATCTGTTTTATCAACTGGGACCAGACAATTAGGCTCATTTTACAATGGAACAAATAAAATAATAGAGACTGAAGAGCTCTCTTATCAGTTGTCGTAATAACTTCGTATAGCATACATTATACGAAGTTATACGAACAAACTAGACAAGGAAATAAAATGTATTGTGGTTTAATGCAAAACTATATTAAGTGGCAGACATGGAACTGGAAAAACATTGTAAGCAGGTTTACCTCCAAATACCCTACTGCCAGCTGAAGAACAGTCTGGTTATTTCCCCTTCACTAGTCTCTATTCATTAGGCCAGAAGGAATATACTTGTTGCATTCAAAGAGCTCAATGGCTTCCCTGAAGTTACAAGGAAACCTCTAACAGAGACCTACGGGGAGCTGGCAGCAAACAGAAACTGCACTCTGCTACTCATTTTGCCCTTATAAAATTCAAGGCAGCAGATCCTCAATCAAACAGCTATTTTCAACAACTGCACCAGATTGGCTGGGCTGCAACATCAGTCACCAAGGTACTGGCATCAGGTCACACGCAATGGTTTCCAACACAAACATGAATGTGTCTTCCCCACTTGTTCTGCTACTTTTCTGAAAAATCATGGAAAACACAGTGTGAGATAAACTCTGTGTTGCTTCACATCATCAAGGGAGTTTTAGTCCAAAAACATGTAAAATGTCACAATAATTTTTTTTTTTGCAGTAATTCTTAAATTTAAAAATTACATGTTAATTCATGTTGAAATGGTAATATTTAGATATACTGGGTAAATAATACTGGGTCAAAAAACACAATGTTAAGGGCCGGCCCGGTGGCGCACTGGATAGTGCGCCGCTTGGGAAGTGCGGCGGTGCTCCCGCCCGAGGGTTCGGATCCCACATACAGACCGGTTCCCGCTCGCTGGCTGAGCGAGGCGCGGGAGCAGCACCGAGGGTTGCAATCCCGTTGCCGGTCCCCGGTCCGGTGCGGGGGCAACACTGAGGGTTGCAATCCGTTGCCGGACACGGAAAAAGACAAAAGACAAAAAAACAAAACAAAACAAAACAAAACACAATGTTAAAATTAATTCCACCTATTTCTCATTACTGTTTAAAATGTGGCTATTAGAAGATATAAAATTAATATGTGGCTTGTGTTATATTTCTACTGAACAGTACTGATTTGACAAAGGTTTGAAAAGAAGAAGCTCTCATTTAAAAGAAAATTACATAGCTTTCCACTCCCCCAAATGCCCTAGTGCCCATTCAAAAAGGGTTAAGCTTTCTATCTACGAAGTAGTATGAAATCCTTTACATAAGTCCAGTACATGGCACGTTTCAATTGTTCAGAGTATTTTTTAAATGCAAACAATTTTCAAATCCCAATTATAGTTGAATGTACTGTGCTTATTTTATTCTTTCATTCTACAACTAATTAAAGTGGCTTTCAGAGACCATATCCTTAACAATGAGGCTTCAGATCTTGGTCTCCATCATCAGGGTTTCCATCCCTGATCCTAATAAACTACAGACCTGCAGCTCTAGGGTGTTCGCTTGTGGAATATACCAATATTTATAAAGCAAATGTATTTCACAGGGCCTCCAAAGCCCTGCAGTTTCAGGTTTAGCCTAACTTCTTAAAATTATATATAGAAATGTTAACCTTGCAAAAGACAGGAAACCTTCCTCAGGCTAGGGTCTCTGATGTGGATGGAGAGTTGTGGCACAGCAAGGTTGCTGGCTCAAGGACAGACAAGTTACTTGATTGATATGTAAAGATATTGGGAAAATTGCTGTAGGGAAAAAACAGTGTTTGCTAAGATCAAGCTTTTGTTGGTGGATCGACTTAAACTTTTGCAAATTGCATTATGGAATGTCACCTTGTTATTTTAGTAATGTTACCAGCCTCTATTGCTAAACTATAATTGGTCATAACCCCACCTATGTTCTTTTCCTGTAACTTCCTGGTCTGGAGAATAAATGTGGGGTGAGAACCCCAGTTCGTGGTTAATTTCCAAAAAGAAGGAATGCCTCACTCTTGAGGGTTCCAGGAAATTAACCCCTTTGGGGTCTCTCACTGCTCGGAAGAAATGGGCTTTGAGTAATCCTTTTTGTGGCTCTGTCACCCAGGGAAAGGGAGATGACAAATCCATATGAGGCAAAGCAACATTCACATAGGCTCAGCACCTGAAAAGTTCTGAAATGGCCTCCGTGTCAGGAGCAAGGACTGCAAAGACCCGGCTTCCACGGCATGTGAGAGGCAGCACAGCAGGGCAGGTAAGAGACTGGGCTTGGGAATCAGACTTACTGCAATCGAGTCTAACTCTGCCCAGTACTCACAGGCTGACCTCAGGCAAGTTACCGGGCCACAGTGGCTTAAATTTCATCATCTGAAAATGGGAATAAAAACATACTTACCTGATAGGTTTTAATGACTAAATGAGGGAACACATGTAAGGTGCCTAGAACAGTGATGGGCTTGTAACAGCCCAACAAAGGTAGTTATTGTGAAACGTGCAAGGATGGTGGCAATCAGCAGTAGGCCGAAATAACTTTTACTTGTTTTTTTCCCTACACTACGCTTGCTTCACTCCTAAAACTAACCTGCATCACCCCTAGAATCAGACAGTTGTGGATCTCACAAACCAACTGTCGGTCTGTGTTGGCCACTTTCTGCGCAGGTAGCTAAGCTACTTTAAAAACAAATATCCAGAATGAACAAAGTCTAATCATCCAAATTTTAGGGATGGAAAGATATAATGCACTTTCATATTTTGAAAGGATCAATGCATACTGGAAGCATCTTACAAATGCTACAGTATCCTTACACATCTTGGCACTACACTTATACCAAGCCAGGATCACAGGTTCCTAACCCCTTCAACACCCAACCTCTCCAGTACTTTTGTAAAGGCCTCTGTAGATAGATGCTTGAATTCTCCCATCCAATTACTAACCAAGCCCGACCCTGCTTAGCTTCTGAGACCAGATGAGATTGGGTGCGTTCAAAGTAGTATGGCTGTGGACTAGATACCTGAACGCTGATAATCACAAGACTAGGTCAATTAAGTGACATTGAAACAATTTCAACAAATGCTTAATAAAGCATAAGAATGCCTCTAAGATTGTCTGTCAGAAATGTTAGAGTGAATCAAGTGAGTCCTAAGCAAGGGTCTGGACTTTTTAATAATAATTTTTTTTAAAAAATGAACTTCTCTATTTATTATGATCATTTTTCTCTGCTCTTGCCAAGCCAAAAAATATATAATTAGGGAGTATGAGTAATTAGCTAGTTGGTGACCAGGTGGTATGGATGAAGGACACCCCCTAAGGAGGAGGTGCAAATGGAAATGGCAGGTGTCTAACCAAAATGACTGGGAATCATGTGAATTTGGCCATCCACATGCAGTTTAAAAATAAAGGTAAATAGTAATAGCCTTCCCATTGTCACTTCAGAAAGCAGAACTGCATGGGGACTCTGTTTGACAACACACCACTGCAGTAGCACCGATACATACCTATAACAGACACTGTCAGTGCAGGGGTTGTGAGCCCTGACAATGACAAAAACATGCTGAAAGTGGGATCGGATGTTTTTTGGACTGAATGGCTGTGCTCCAGGCTCTTGGAAAACAATTGTTACAATATCATTTCCAATGTGCCGCTTCCGTAGGAGCTACAAGAAAAAATAAGCGACCAACATAAATGACAACACTCTGCTTTTTCTTCCCCAATTCCCTTATGTAACTGTATTTAAAACATTCATTACTAATCAGTACACATTAGAGTAAGTAATCTATGCATTTACTGTCAATATTTTAGCCTGTCTTATCATTTCCTCCAAAGAAGAATATGGAAATGAATATTCAGAAATTTGCAAAAAAGATATAGCCATTCAAATAGGTCTAATCAATATCTGGAATATTATGCCAAGCCCCAGTGTCTCCAAATCCTGTTCCTATCACAACAGTTTTGTTCCATTTTCATATAAGAAAGAAATTTGCCATACGAATGATTTTTAGAGATAAGAATGGCTTAAGTAATTACAACGCAATTTATGTTCTAGTTTAATTGGCTTCATTTAAAGAAAATGTGGCCAAGGTGTTTTCTGATATACTTTTTGTGTCACAAGCTGGGAATGCAGGAATTAATAACATTCCGGAATGTTAAAACAATTTAAAAGCAGGTTAAATTTCAAGTTTAAACAACTTCTTTAATTACAATGAAAACTGCTTAAGATCACCTTCTGTTTCACATTCAATGGTGTTTTGGATGGGTGGCTTACAAATTCAGGTACCCCAAATCATCCTGGGCCACTGCCTTTTCAGGAAGGGTTTATTAAATAGTTTAATTCAATAGCATAAAGAAAAATTGAACAATATTTGTATTTCTTATGACATGGAAGCTCTTAAAAGAGAAAAACAACTAAGTATGATACGTATATAAATTACACATGAGGCATAAGCATGGACTTATAAAACTTTAAAAAAAAATTTCTAGTGACACTAAGGCACACAGATTACATACTAGTAAAAACAATGATCTAGTATTGGCTGCCAGCTGAGAGAAACAACAGCCTTTTAGATTGGGATTGAGAATTGGGAATTAGAATGTTTGGGAAATGTACTTTTAACCTTAGAAATTTGAAAGCATCTCAAATTATCTTCTAATGAGGCAATTTACTTCATTTCTAAACATGATGTATAATCATATGTTATGGAAATAAAGGCTGACCTATATTGACTGCTACATAGAATATACCAATAATTAAAGATTAATCTACTAAGAATCTTGGACATACCAAAACCAAATATTAATTTATCTATGTATTATGCCATTTCTACATAGATGATGTCATTTGTCTTTTTCATGCAATGCTATTCTTCCTTCAAAATAAAGCTCAATATGTACAATTAATGTCTTAATAAAGGACCCAAATAGAAACAAATCCATTTATCCATTTCACATTATATATAATGAAAGACAGTATTTGTAAAAAAATCCATGCAAAAAAGGTTTTTTAAAATGCATTCTTTCCATTTTTTCTGAGGCTAAAGTAATCCATATAGCAGAAAATAAATTCTTTAGGTAGAGAATGAAAATTTCTTAATATGTACAGTACCAGACACTTCCTCATTCCGATTTAGAACCATAACACTTTTGCCTTGTTTAGACCCCAATATTAAATAATTTAGATAGTTCTCCACTTACATGCCAATTCACTCTGTCTAGCACTTCAACTCCTTTACTTAGAAATAAACAATCAAATCTGACTAAATTGCTTTTTTCTTATTACTAAATTTTTTACCCTCACAAATCATATCTTTCTCTTCTGAGTGGTCGGGTAGAATAAGCTGTTATCTCCCCTTTAAAGATCATGGGTATTGTTCTTAAAGTTTTTGTTTACTGACTACTCAGAATAAAAAGTCTGGTATATCTTTTTCAGCATGGTGTTTTATCTCAAAAAAATCTAGAACCTGGAATCTGCATAAAACAAATTGTCAACAAAGTCTGGATCAGGGAGTTTATTTTAAAGCAGGTTTATTTCAGATATATAGCTGACTTATTGCTTTGCTTCCTATTTTTGAGTATTCTGGTAATCACGAATGGCAAGTTTTGTTACCTAGATTTGTGATTTCATCAAACCTGAAGTGATAAAGTATTAGATTAGATCAGTGTTTGGTTAACTTCTGTGAAAGAGGATGTGATTCATTCTGCAGCTGGCTATGTTGTGTTAGTACAACAATTGACAGTAACAAAAATCTATATCCATTTTAAGGTCAGAAGT